GTCGAGCGCGTCGTCGCTTTTGTTGTAGTCGGGAATCGTCGTCGTCGTCGAGCGTCGCCGTCGTCGTCGTCGAGCGCGTCGTCGCCTTTGTCGTCGTCGTCGCCGTCGGGCGTCGTCGTCGTCGCCATCGTCGAGTGTCGTCGCCGTCGTCGTCGTCGTCGTCGTCGTCGTCGTCGTCGTCGTCGTCGTCGTCGGGCGCGCCGTCGCCTTTGTCGTGGCCGTCGTCGACATCGCTGAGCGTCGTCGTCGTCGTCTTCGTCGAGAGTCGTCGTCGTCGTCGAGCGCGTCGTCGCCTTTTCCTTCGTCGTCGTCGTCGAACGTCGTCGCCGTCGTCGAGCGCGTCGCCGATTGCGTCGTCGTCGTCGTCCTCGTCGTCGTGAAGCGTCGCCATCGTCGTAAAGCGCCGCCACCGTCGTCGTCGACCGCGTCGTCGCCTTTGTCGCCCTCGTCACCATCGCCGTCGTCGTCGTCGACGGCCGCGTCGTCGCCTCGGCCGTCGCTGTCGTTGTTGAACGCGTCGTCGTCGTTGTCGTCGAGAGTCGACGTCGTCGTCGTCGTCGTCAGCGTCGTCGTCGTCGGGCGTCGCCAGAGTTGTCAGGGGTCGCGCCTTTGTCGTCGTCACGTCGTCGCCGAGCGCGTCGTCGCATTGTCGTCGTCGTGAAGAGCATCGTCGCCTTTGCCATCGTCGTCGTCACCGTCGCCGAACGTCGTCGTCGTCGAGCGTTGTCGGGCGCATCATCGTTGCCAAGCGCGTCGTCATCTCTGTCGCCGTCGTCGTTGTAAGCGGGCGCGTCGTCGCCGTCGTCGAGCGCGTCGTCGCCTTCTCGTCGTAACCTCGTCGTCGTCGAGCATCGTCGAGCGTCGTTGTCGTCGAGCGTCGTCGTCGTCGTCGTTGAGCGCGTTCTCGTCGTCGTCGTCGTCGTCGCCTTTGTCGTCGTCGTCGTCGGGCGCGTCGTCGCCTTTGTCGTGCTCGTCGTCTTCGAGAGCGTCGTCGCCTTTGTAGTTTTCGTCGTCGAGCGTCGTCGTCGTCGTCGAGAGCGTCGCTGCCTTTGTCGTCGCCTTTGTCGTCGTCGTCGAGAGCGTCGACGCCTTCATCGTCGTCGTCGTCGTCGCCTTTGTCGTCGTTGTCGTCAGACGCGTCATCGTCGAGCGTCGTCGTCGGGCGTCGACGACGCCGTCGAGCGATTGGTCGCTCTCGTCGTCGTCATCGTCGTCGGGCGTCGCCGAGCGACCTTGTAGTCGAGCACGTCGCCGTTTTCGTCGTAGAGCGCCGTCGCATTTGTGGTCGAGCGTCGTCGCCGTTGTCGTCGTCGTCACCGTCGTCGCCCGTCGTCGTCGTCGTCGTCATCTGGCATCGAGCGTCGTCGCCACCGTCGAGCGCGTTGTCGCTTTTGTCGTCGTCGTCGTGGTCGGCGAGCGTCGTCCTCTTTTTGATCGACCGTCGCCTTCGTCGTGCGGGTCGTCGCCTTGGTCGCCGTCGTCGTCGTCGATGTCAAGCGCGGTCGTCGTCGTCGTCGTCGTCGTCGAGCGGCGTCGTCGTCATCGACGTCGAGGGGCGTCGCCGTCGAGCGTCGTTGTCGTCGTCGTCAAGCGCATCGTCGCTTTTGTCGTCGTCGAGCGTCGTCGTCGTCGAGTGTCGTTGTCGCTGTCGAGTGCGTCGTCGCCGTCGTCGAGCTAGAGCCCCGGCGTCGTCGTCGTCCGTCGTCGTCGTCACCAAGCGCGTCGTCACCTTTGTCGTCGTCGTCGGGCGTCGTCATCGAGCGCGTCGTTGCCTTCGTCGTCGCCGTCGTCGTCGTCGACGACCGTATCGCCGCCTTTGTCGTCGAGCGCATCGCCGCCTTTGTCGTCGAGCCTCGTCGTCGTCGTCGTCGTCGTCAAGTGTCGTTGTCGCTGTCGAGTGCGTCGTCGCCGTCGTCGAGCGCTGTCGAGCCCCGTCGAGCCCCGGCGTCGTCGTCGTCCGTCGTCGTCGTCACCAAGCGCGTCGTCACCTTTGTCGTCCGCATCGTCGTCGTCCAGCGTCGTCGTCGGGCGTCGTCATCGCGCGCGTCGTTGCCTTTGCCGGCGCCGTCCAGCGTCGTCGTCGTCGTCGAGCGCGTCGTTGCCTTTGCCGTCGTCGTCTTCGTCGAGCGAAATCGCCGTCATCGACGAGCGCGTCGTCGCGTCTGTCGCCGTCGTCGAGCGCGTCGTTGCCTTTGTCGTGTCGTCGTCGTCGCCATCGGGCGTCGTCGTCTTCGATGCCGTCGTCGTCGCCGTCGAGCGCGTCGTCGCTTCGTCGTCGTCGGGCATCGTCGTCGTCGAGCGTCGCCGTCGTCGTCGTCGAGCGCGTCGTCGCCTTTGTCGTCGCCGTCGTGGTCGCCGTCAGGCGTCGTCGTCGTCGCCATCGTCGAGTGTCGTCGCCGTCGTCGTCGTTGTCGTCGGGCGCGCCGTCGCCTTTGTCGCGGCCGTCGTCGACATCGCCGAGCGTCGTCGTCGTTGTCGCAAAGCGTCGTCGTCGTCGTCGAGAGTCGTCGTCGTCGTCGAGTGCGTCGCTGCCTTTGCCTTCGTCGTCGTCGTCGTCGAACGTCGTCGCCGTCGTCGAGCGTGTCGCAGATTGCGTCGTCGTCGTGAAGCGTCGCCAACGCCGTACAGCGCCGCAACCGTTTCCGTCGACCGCGTCGTCGCCGTTGTCGTCGTCGTCGTCGTCGCCACCGTCGAGCGCGTCGTCGCCTGTGTCGTAGTCGTCGTGGTCGGCGAGCGTCGTCCTCGTCTTGGTCGGCCGTGGCCTTCGTCGTGCGGGTCGTCACCTTTATCGCCGTCGTCGTCGTCGTCCTTGTCGAGCGCCGTCATCGTCGTCGTCGAGCGTCGTCGTCGCCGTCGAGTGTCGTTGTAGTCGTCGAGCGTATCGCCGCCTTTGTCGTCGAGCCTCGTCGCCGTCGTCGTCGAGTGTCGTTGTCGCTGTCGAGCGCGTCGTCGCCGTCGTCGAGCGCTGTTGAGCCCTGGCGTCGTTGTCGTCCGTCGTCGTCGTCACCAAGCGCGTCGTCACCTTTGTCGTCCTCGTCGTCGTGGTCCAGCGTCGTCGTCGGGCGTCGTCATCGAGCGCGTCGTTGCCTTTGCCGTCGTCGTCGAGCACGTCGTCGCCTTCGTCGTCGTCGTCGTCGTCGAGGAGCGATATCACCGTCGTCGTCGAGTGCGTCGTCACGTCTGTCGCCGTCGAGCGCGTCGTTACCTTTGTCGTGTCGTCGTCGTCGCCGTCGGGCGTCGTCGTCTTCGTTGTCGTCGTCGTCGCCATCGAACACGTTGTCGCCTTTGTCGTCGTCGGGCATCGCCGTCGTCGTCGAGCGTCGCCGTCGTCGTCATCGAACGCGTCGTAGCCTTTGTCGTCGTCGTCCCATCGGGCGTCGTCGTCGTCGCCATCGTCGAGTGCCGTCGCCGTCGTCGTCGTCGTCGGGCGCGCCGTCGCCTTTGTCGCGGCCGTCGTCGTCGTCGTCGAGCGTCGTCGTCGTCGAGCGCGTCGTCGCCTTTGCCTTCGTCGTCGTCGTTGAACGTCGTCGCCGCTATCGAGCGCGTCAGCGATTGTGTCGTCGTCGTCGTCGTGAAGCGTCGCCGTCGTCGTAGAGCGCTGCCTCCGTCGTCGTCGACCGCGTTGTCGCCTTTGTCGTCCTCGTCGTCACCGTCGCCGTCGTCGTCGTCGGGCGACGTCGTCGTCTCTGCCGTCGCTGTCGTTGTTGAACGCGTCGTCGTTGTCGTCCAGCGTCGTCGTCGTCGAGCGTCGTCGTCGGGCCTCGCCAGAGTTGTCGGGCGTCCTGCCTTTGCCGTCGTCGTCGAGCGAATCGTCGCCCGGGTCGTCGCCGTCGTCGAGTGTCGTCGTCGTCGATCCTTGTCGCCTTTGTCGACGTTGTCGAGCGTCGCCGTCGAGCGCGTCGTCGCAATCGTCGTCGTCGTCGTCGTCGAGCGTGTCGTCGCCTTTGTCGTCGTCGTCGTCGGGCGACGTCGTCGAGCGCGTCGTCGCCTTTGTCGTCGTCGTCGCCGCCGCCGTCGTCGTCGTTGAGCGTCGTCGTCGAGCGTGGTCGCCTTCGTCGTCGTCGTCGAGTGTCGTCGTCGTCGTCGGGCGTCGTCGTCGCCGTCGATGTCGTCGTCGAGCGTCGTCGTCGTCGAGCGCGACATCGCCTTTGCCGTCGTCGTCGTCGTCGTCTTTGTGATCCTCGGCGTCGTCGTCGCCGTCGTCGCCTTTGCCTTCGTCGTCGTCGAACACGATGTCGCCTTTGTCGTAGTCGTCATCGAGCGTCGTCGTTGTCGTGGCCGAGCACGCCACCGTCGTCCGAGCCGTCGTCGCCTGTGTCGTCGTCCTCGTCCGGCGTCGTCGTCGTCGAGAGCGTCGTCGTATGTGTCGTCGTCGCTTGTCGTCGTCGTTGAGCGTCATCATCTTCGTCGTCGTCGGGTGTCGTCGTCGTTGTCGAGCGTCGCCGTCGTCGTCGACGAGCGTTCTCGTCGTCGTCGTCTCTGTCTTCGTCGTCGTCGTCCAGCCCAGTGCAGTCGTCGTCGTCGAGCGTAGTCGTCGTCGTGATCGTCGTCGTGCGTCGTCGAGCGTCGCCGTCGTCGTCGTCGAGCGTCGTCACCGCCGTCGAGCGCGTCGTCGCCTTTGTCGTCGTCGTCGTCGAGCGCCGTGCGTCGTCGACCCTGTCGCCGTCGTCGTCGTCGAGCGTCGTGGTCGACGTGGAGCGTCGCTGTCGTCGTCGTCAAGCGCGTCATCGCCTTTTGTCGTCGTCGTCGCCGAGCGTCGTCGTCGTCGTCGTCGAGCCTTGTCGTTGTCGTCGTCGAGCTTCGTGCGTCGTCGTCGAGCGTCGCCGTCGTCGTCGTCGAGCGTCAGGCGTCGTCGTAGTCGTCGTCGTCGTCGTCGAGCGTCGTCGTCGTAGTCGTCAAGCGCGTCGTCGCCTTTGTCGTCGTCGTCGTCGTCGTCGTCTTCGTTGTCGTCGGTCTTCGTCGAGCGTCGTCGTCGTCGAGCGTCGTCCCCGCCCGCGCACCATAGCCGGCACGGCGACCTCGAAGAAATTCGGCCCGACCCGGCTGGGCGCGAGAGCTGCCGCCGCCGACGGTCGTTGCCCCCACCCCCAGGGAGGAGCGGGGGAGGAGAGGAGGAGCGCGGGAGGGGAGGATTTTTCCCTACCTAGGCTCTGCCTAGAAGGGTTCTTACTCTGTTAGCTAAAGGGGCCGGGCAATGGAAACCGCCCCGGGCGGTTCCCCCAGTCCCCGCCCCGCGGTTCCCCCAGTCCCCTGGGAGCTTTAGCCTTAGCTTTAGCTTTAGCTTAGCTTTAGCTTTAGCTTTAGCTTAGCTTTAGCTTAGCTTTAGCTTAGCTTTAGCTTAGCTTTAGCTTAGCTTCAGCTTAGCTTTAGCTTAGCTTGAGCTTAGCTTTAGCTTAGCTTTGGCTTAGCCTTAGCTTAGCTTTAGCTTAGCTTTAGCTTAGCTTCAGCTTAGCTTTGCTTCAGCTTAGCTTCAGCTTAGCTTTAGCTTAGCTTCAGCTTAGCTTAGCTTTAGCTTAGCTTAGCTTTAGCTTAGCTTTAGCTCAGCTGTAGCTTAGCTTTAGCTTAGATTTAGCTTAGCTTCAGCTTAGCTTTAGCTTAGCTTTAGCTTAGCTTTAGCTTAGCCTTAGCTTAGCCTTAGCTTAGCTTTCGCTTAGCTTCAGCTTAGCTTCAGCTTAGCTTTAGCTTAGCTTTAGCTTAGCGTTAGCTTAGCTTTAGCTTAGCTTTAGGTTTAGCTTTAGCATAGCTTTAGATTAGCTTTAGCTTAGCTTTAGCTTAGCTCCAGCTTAGCTTTAGAACAGCTTTAGCTTAGCTTCAGCTTAGCTTTAGCTTAGCTTTAGCTTAGTGTTAGCTTAGCCTTAGCTTAGCTTTAGCTTAGCTTTAGCTTAGCTTTGGCTTAGCTAGTTTAGCTTTACTGTTACTACTAATGCTGCTTTCCTAGTGGCTCCAACTCCTAGGTAGGGTCGCACTGGGATAATTTTAACAATGGATTCTCAAAGAGCGCCTCTGGCGGCGCGAGAGACCACCGAACCACCCCTGGTGAGAGCCGAAGCCAACACCAGGCACAGCAGGGTCACTCCTTTCACACTCATGCACGCTCTGAACTCGCCGCGGGAGGTGGCACAACAGGGCCTGGGTCGAAGCTCCCTCCCCCAGAGCGCGGGTCTCCTGGCAAAACTCGGGAGGGCAGGAGGGGGGCGCTGCAGTGGCGGAGGAGGAGACGGAGGCAAGGAGGGGGAGGGAGCGGAGGAGGAGAGAGGGGGGTAGGGGCAAGCTGAGTGCACTCTCGCCAAATCTCGCTTTCTGCCCTTCCCGCCCATCAATTCCCATTGCGCTTTAAATTTTCTCTGTCTGCCAACGGGTGTCATGGAGGACCTGGAACAGCCCCTGTCGTGTTGTGCGCCGTCGGAAAGGGGAGCTGCGTAAATGGGAGGAGGACATGTGACGGATGAGCAGGAGGATGAGCAGGCGGATCAGGAGGAGCACGAGGAGGAGAAGGAGGAGGAGCAGTGAGGAGAACGAGGAGGAACAGCAGCAGCAGGAGCAATATTGGTCTGGGAGGCTATGTTTCCCACACCACCCGGTAGCGCTCGTGTGCACGCGCGCCCCCGCGTGACGTCCACCCGAGGCGCCACGCGAGGGAGAATTCAAAGTAGCTCCACTGCGGACGAGGGCCCCCTTGGGGCCTCGCGCCAGTCATAGCGCCGCGGAGGTAGGGCCCTGGCCAAGGGATCAAGGCATTGGCCAACCAATTCCCCCTTAGGGGAGATTATCTCCGCAAGGTTGTTCAGCAGGTATCGGGAGACAACGGTATCGGCATGGCGTCTCCCCGTTCTCGTCTCCACGCGGGTCCCTGCGAACGGGAGGGTGCCAGTGCCTGCCGGTCGTCCCACCGCTCGTCCCATCGAACGCCCGTCTGGAGAAAGTGAGTCATACGGCATGCAAACATCCATGCCTCCCTCCCTCCCTCTCTCCCTCCTCCTCTTCCTCCTCCTCCTCTTCCTCCTCCTCCCCCTCCTCCTCTCCCCTCCCTCCCCCTCCTCCTCCTCCGCCTCTTCCTCTCCTCCTCCTCCCTTCCTCCTTCTCCTCCTGCTCCCCCTCTCCTCCTCCTCATCCTCCCCCCTCCTCCTCCTCCTCCTCCTCCTCCTCCTCCTCCTCCTCCTCCTCCTCCATCCTCCTCCTCCTCCTCCTCCTCCTCCTCCTCCTCCTCCTGCTCCTCCTCCTTTCTTCTCTTCCTGCCCTGAGCGGGGGCCTGGCATCTGTTCTCATGGTGTCAGTGCCACACTTGCTCTAGGGCACATTGTCAGGTACCACGGATGTGATGCAGGAGCGGGAAGGCGGCCGTCTTTGTCTTAGGACAGGGGTGAATTTGGCTCCCCTGCACCCTGGTCAGTGAGGTCTGGACCTTGGCCCACTGCCGCGGCGTCAGCTGCAATAGCGATCGTGCATTTCCGGGAGGGGTGGTGCCGTGTGGCACGTGAACCCCATGGGGCCTCGCGCCCACTCCCGTGCGGGGATCCTCGAGTTCGAGATCAGTTATACCACCTGGTGCCAGCGCGGACCCCGTTTGCACGTGCCCGTCAGCTGTGACCCCAAGCTGGCCCTGCGGCTCTTTGAGCATTCGGCTTAAGACCGTAAGCAGGTGAACCATGCCAGCGCAGCCCCCGCAGGGTCGGGTGGACCATGGCTGCAGGGAACCGCTGGCGGGGCAGCGAGTCGCCAGGCGACTAGCCCCCATCGTGCCCGTCGTCACTTCCTCGTCTTCGGCAAAATGACACATGACCGCATTGGACGTGAAATAAATGGCCCCAGCCAATAAGTGGTCCTTCTTCTCCTCCTCCTCCTCCTCCTCCTCCTCCTCCTCCTCCCTCCTCCTCCTCCTCCTCCTCTTCGTCCTCCCCCTCCTCTTCCTCCTCATCCTCATCCTGCTCCATTTCTTTTCCTTAAACATAACTTATCCTTGTCGCACCCCAAGGCAATTTTTTGTGCAGACTGGGCGTTTCGCCTGAGCCTTCCTCACCACTTGTGACCCTGAAACATAAACATTGGCAACAGCTTCACACATTGAGGGAGGGTGGTTTTCAAAATGCGGCTGTCGCCTTAGCGCCACGCACATTCGTTCTAAGCAAGTGCAACAGCTTCACGGATTGAGGGCGGGTGGTTTTCATAATGTGGCTCTCGCCTTAGCGCCGCGCACATTCGATTTTAAACCTGCACAAGTTTCCCGGATTAAAAGCGGGCCGGTTTCAAAATATGATTCTCGCCTTAGCGCGTGGCGCAGTCGTTTAACAAAACTGCAGGAGCTTCCCGGATTGCGGGCGGTGCCTTTTCAAAATGTGGTTCTCGCCTAAGCGCCGCGCACATTCATTTTCAACATTTGCAAGAACTTCACGGATTGGGGGCGAGCCGTTTTCAAAATGCGCCTCTCGCATTAGCGCCGCGTACATTCGTTCTAAAAATTGCAAGAGGGTCCCGGGTTGCGGGCGGTGTCTTTTCAAAATGTGGCTCTCGCCGTAGCGCGGCGCACATTCAAATTGCAAGAGTTTCACGGGTTCCCATGATCTGCGTAACAGGAATTGTGTTTAGGACGAATTCAGGACAATGCGGGCGCAACAGTTACGTTGATTCGCGGTGTTGAAATCCCAGGAATGGCGTCCTGGCAAGATTCAAGATCGTCAAAACGCAACAGTCAGGTTGATCCGTGGCGTTGGAATCCGGAGAACTCTGTTTTGGCATGCTACAGGGTCTCGAGCACGCGGAGCGGCGTCGCCACTCTGCGAAGCTGGCGGGGGCCTGACGAGTCCTCTTCCTCCGAGAGGGGGAGCTTCCGCCGAGGAAGAGGGGACCTCCTCCTCCATTCCTTTACCTGATAAATAATTTTTCCCTGTCGCATCCCGAAGCCAGTTATTAGGGCGGGCCGGGCGTTTCGCCTGAGACTTCCTCACCACTTAGGACTCTGAAGCGTAAAACTTGACAACCGCTTCAAAAATGGAGTGTTTTCAAAATGTGTCTCTCGCCTGAGCGTGGGGCACATTCGTTTTAAACAATTGCAAGATCTTCACGGATTGAGGGCGGTTCCTTTTCAAAATGTAGCTCTCGCTTTAGCGCGGCGCACATTCGCTTTAAACATGTGTAAGAGCTTCACGCCGTAGCGCGGCGCACATTCGTTTCTAAAAAATGCCAGATGTCCACGGATTCCTCGCATCACCGTGCCATAAATGGTGTTTTGAAAAATTCAGGATTGTGTTGGTGCAACAATTATGTTGATTCGCTGTGTGGAAGTCCCAGGAATGGCGTTCTGGCACGATTTCGGATCGTCAAGACGCAGCAGTCAGGTTGATCCGTGGCGCCGGAATCCCCAGAACAATGTTTTGGCATGCTTCAGGGTCTTCAAACGGTTGTCTTCCAAAGAGGCAGTTCCTTCAATGGAAATGAACCGTTGTAGGGGCCTATGAAGAGGATTCTTGGAGGGAGGGTTTATTCCAACATCATTGATGACTCTTGGGTTACACTGGTCCTCCTCCTCCTCCTATCCTCCCCCTCCTCCCTCCCTCCCTCACACACCTTCTGCCTCCCGACCTCTCCTCTCCTGGCCCTCGTCCTCCGCTGAATTCGTCCTCCACTGCCGGTGTTGGAATAAACCCTCTCTCGAAGATCCCTCTTCAATGGCCCCTACAACGGTTCATTTCCATTGAGGGTACTGCCTCGTTGGAAGACAACCGTTTGAAGATCCTGACGCATGCCAAAACATCGTTCTCGGGATTCCAACGCCACGGATCACCCTGACTGTTGCGTCTTGAGAAAGAACACGTTTCACGGGCGTTTTCCTGGGAAACATTCGGCACCGCGTTTCAAACCGGGGGGTGGGCCCTCCCCCAACACCCGGCGCCGTCGATCAAAACCAGGGGGACTCCCCTCTCCCCCCAAACCCCCCTCCCCCCGAACCCCCCCCACCCCCTCTCAAGCGAGGGGGGGGGGGCGTTCAAAACCCCCCCCTCGGCGC